GGCAAACCCCCGAGTGGACAGAGACCAGCGCTTCAAAAATCTGCCCAAGCACGGAGAGAGAGAGGAGGAGACGCTGCCTGATCCGCGTCGGATCCTGGAATGTTCGTTCTCTCGTTGAGAGCGAAGGAAGCATTGAAACGGCAAGTATTCAAAACAAGGTTGTTCAAGACAGGAAACTGGACCTCGGCATCTCAGAACTACATTGACTCAGCTTGGACGTCGCTGGTGTACAAGAAACAAGTGTGTTTGTGTGTGTGTGTTGCATACAAGACACACATACACACACACACACACGGTCACGTCGATCTTCCAAGTCCGGGGTCGAGATGCATGCGGTCTGGGGTAGGGGCTATGATCTGCTCAATGTAAAATACGTATATATTATGGCATGGTTGGGAGGGCAATAATGGATTTTCAGTGCCCGACAAGTGAGCCCGAGGGCTCACTTGGAGGGGACTGGAAATCCATTATTGCTCGACCAACCATGCCATAATGGATTTATCACTTTCAGCCTAACATTACTGAAGACACTAACCTGAAAGAATCAAAACTAAAGGAGAAAGTTGACCTTGTGTGCAGCAACACTTGAAAGGAAAGAAAAAGAAAAGCTGAGATCGCCACTTTCGAACAAGCGTTCACATGTACACTGCGCTGTACACAATCACCGTGTTCAAATCCCGTAGATTTCACGCGTCCAGTGTCACTCTCAGGGTTGTCACGGACGACGGACGGGCGTTGGACTGATTTATTGCCCGCTCTCATACAGATCAGTGATTGGCCCGATCCATGGCAACAGTCATGTGACATGTGATAAAACAAATACAAAACAACAACGGAGGTCGGAGGCAAAAACATATTACACTTCTGATCAGTTACTGTATAGCAGGAAATTTTCGGACGGAATTTATTTTCGTACGATTTCGTACATGGCCTCTTTTGTACTAAAATGAATTCCGTACTTTTAAATTTTGTTCCTGTGAAGCTATGTACACTATACGTGCGTACCGCATGAGAACACGTGCATTTGGCATGCAGCACTGGTACGAAAATAAAATCCATACGAAAGGTCGAAATTCGGCTTTGTCCGAAAATATTTCCGTCCGAAAATTTCCTGCTGTGCAGTATCATGCGAAGTGTCTTCTGGACTGGATGCGTTAGTGGATGCATGCGAACTTGACTTGTTCTAAAAATCCAAATCCAAACGCATAACAAAAGTGCTACACACTTTCACATTTGTAAAGCAGTCGTTTTTCATTTTTTTCATTTTCGCAAAGCAGTTTTAGCAAATCGCGCTGAGAGTTTGTGTGCTCCATTACCGCGTGCTCAGTACAAAACGTGGGGTACTGTAAGTCCAGTAGGTATCGGTTATAGCATGGGTGTTTGAAAAACGACTTTCTATTCTTATTTCCTGTCCCCGGGGAAAATCGCGATTCCGCGGCCGCGTTTTTTCCGCGTTTTTGCGATTTTTTAAAGACCGCGTTTCCGCGATTTTCCCCGCGTTTTTTGAACTTTTTTGTTGCACTACACGTACACACAGTGCACTGTTCGGTCAGCAACGTCTCATCGTGGCGGCTTTGTACTCAAATATGACGAGTGCTTACACCAGAGACTTGTAACTGATTGATTTCACTACATACTCACTGAAAATTGCCTCATATCAACTGCGAACTTGCCGCATCACTAAACATTCCCCGCATCTTTACCGCAAATTCCCCGCAAATTATGCCATATTATGCCGCGTTTTTCCCCGCGTTTTTTTGCGATTTTTTTCCCCGATTTTCCCCGGGGACAGTTATTTCCGATATTTCTTACGCACGATAAATCACGTGTGACATATGATGTGCATGTGCGCAGGGGCAGGAAGATCATCGTACATGCAATGTAGTGCTAGTGTGCAGGTGGCTGGTCATAGTCCCATAGGCTTACCATGTCATGTGGCTATGCAACATGAGTTACAGGACCACAACAGTTGAACCTGCAGCACTGTGATGCAATGCGAGTTACATCAGAACGGAATTGGACAGATGTTATTACTACAGGCGATACACTTTGTACTAATCTGGCATGTTTCGCTACACAAACTCCATTCTTAGCACCGATATTATATTCTACTATGCGATAAAATTGCTTGTAAAAATAAAAGTGCACTTGAACCCCATGTTATAATTATGAAAACATGAGAATTCATTCTTGTAGGCAGTATATTATTCTTTTACACGACCACGCTATAACCAATACGCACTGTAGTAAGTGTCGGGCCGGTTTCACGACTGGCATATGCCCCTGCCCCAAAAATTGAGGACCCTAAAATGGGGTACTATCTATAATACCCCATTGGGGGGGGGGGGGGTCAGGGGCAGAAACCGGCCCCACACATACTACATGTACAGTGCTGGGGTGCAGGTACAAACCGCACGCGACCTATCCACCGATGAGTGGCGTGCACAGCAGCTATTCGCTGCACTACCATGACATTACCATCGCAAGTATGCGCCACTGCCTAGCAAACTGTAATACGATATCGTGTAAATCATGCCCTGGGGTACATGTCCTTATATACAGTGAAACCTGTTAAGGCGACCACTCGGATAAGGCAACCACCTATCCTTGAAGACTGCTGAAACCAGGACCAAGGGATGCTATTTCCAGTCAAATGACCCTGGTTAAGAAGACCACCTGGTAACAGAGACCAGGTTTTGAAGGTCCCTAGCTTGAGCGGTCGTCTTAGACAGGTTTCTCTGTAGATGTGAGACGTACCTTCCGCTCCCTGGGTTCCATGACTCTAACGGCGTCACAAGTCAACATGCAAGAAAGTCACACACGCACGCACGGGCGCGCACACACACACACAGAGGACTGTACAAGAACTCACCCGGTCTCGGTTCGGTTGGAGGGTGAGGACCCGGAACTGGCACCTGTTCGGTGGACAATCTTATGTGCATGTGACGACGGTGGTGGGTTAAGCTTGTGTACCTTGGGAGACTGGTGAGAATCTGCTGTACATGACGGCGGTGGTTTGTAAAACGTCCATGCCGTGGCAGTGGCACGTGACGGCGGCGTTGCTGGTGGCGATAGTGACGCCCACTTCCGCACCGTGTTACGCTCTTTATTCTCACGTTGTTGTTGTCGTTGTAGGAGCTCCTCTGACCGCTCCTGATGCCGAGACAGAAGTCCTTGGACGCGGCGTTCATCCAGCACTTCCTCTAGTGTCCTAAACCTGGCACCACCTGACCCGTCTCCACTCATGTGCACCAAAAGCTTCGCCAAGCGGTCGTCCGGCCCATGGCGGTCGCGATTTGCTTCGCTTTGATCTCTTTTCTTCAGCTGTTCGAGGACGTCTGCCGATGATCTGAACGTACCGCTGCCTGGTCCGTTCTCTATTGCATCCAGCAGGCGCTGGCACTCTGGCTGCTCAGCACCAAGGGGATGATCACTACTGGACTCGCCCGTCATTAAAAGCCGCCGGCCACACAACACGCCGGGCATACAGCTGCGAGCAATCCAAGCACCGCCTAGAGACGGTGCTGTTGCGGCGGCGATGGTGGTGGTGTGCTGCTGTTGAACCATCAGCGGCTGCCTTACTCTACACAGAGCAGTATGCAGGGCCATCCTTGCATTACTCAGTGCGTCCAGCAGCAGTTGAGGCAGCAGTTGAGGCAGCAGCAGCGGTGGCAGTAGCGCTAGTGGTGACAGTTACAGGCAGTGGGATTTGCCACTGTGCTCCTGTAGCTGTCACTCGAAGTCTTGAGTCTCCACTGACCCACTGTCTGTAGCTGTCACTCGAAGTTTTGAGTCTCCACTGAGCTGTGGATATGGATGACTAACCCCTGCTGTGCTGGCCCAGGGAAGGTGATGCTGACCCTGTTGAGGCACGGGGCACTACAGCCTCTGGATGTGCGCTGCAACACAAGGATGTGTCCCGTATTATACCGGCTTGGTCTGCCACTTGTTGGATACGTCGCTCCCGTCAGCCGACTGTGAACGGCTCGGCCGGACGCACAGCTGTATGCTCAGCACATCAACGACGGCCACCTGTCGTGCTGCAATGCTCCTACGGCAGCACTAGACACACACACACACACACACACACACACACGCACAGACATACTGGTGCACACACACACACGTTCCGACACAAACAAGTGCACAGACGGGTGCAGAAAATTTTTATTTCTTCCACCTCCCAAAAATCAGCTTGTCTGGGTGATATTTTCGTCCAAGAAAGTTGAAGCCTACTGAAAGGCTAGACTATTACCTTCAAATCCCGCCAGAACGCCCCGTCTCCCCCAGGCGCCCCTCCCTGACGTATCATCGTACGACTCTGTGAAGTGTGATGCCGTACTGCACTACAGACGCGTGCTCGACCCGATTGGAAATGTACGCAACAGTTCACACCCTCTTGACCAGAGGGATCGCACAAACCCTGGGTTTTTAAGGATTTGCACGATGCCCTGCTCTTGACCTTTGGTCGGTGTACGAGACTCGCGCACAGTTTTCGTAGGGTGAGTACTTGTTCATATAGTACCGAATGCGGCCAGTAGGACTCGCCCATCCGCCCCTCCCCACCTGGACCTTCCAGAAGGGTCACGGAGGTAGGGGCACTCCGGCGGGATTTTGTGGTGCTCCTGCATTCTAAAGAACTTTGGACTAAATTAAAAAAATTAGTCCAAAATTAGGGCTGAAACGATCGTGGATTTTCACCTATCGATTACTCTTTAGCTTAACGATCGAGTAATCGATTATAACCGTTACCAAGAGTAGATAAACAAGAGTGTGCAACTCCGGATCTCTCCTGTACAATCTGCAGATACCCCGCGCCCACGGCGGAATTTTTGTTTACGTCACCTTTTTTCAGAGAAACGCGGATTCTGCCGCAGAGCAGTGTGAGAGCACGTGCTGACCACCGACCTTGTAGTGTAAAGCCCAGCCAAGTGCACGAGGGAAAACTCTCCAAAAGGCTCGCAGCGCGTGCGTCGTCGAAAAGATTACGTCAACAAAAAATTCCGCCGTGGGCCAACCCATCCGCGAGTTGCACACTCTTGTTTATCTACTCTTGCCGTTACCAAATAGTGTCTGAATTCTGTGCAAAATTACTGTGTTTCCACAAGCTATGCCTTCATAGTACCAAAAAATCTGCATAAGTGAAAGGGTAGCTCCAAAACAGGGCAGTTTGAAGTCAATTGAACCTCAGAACATGCACCATACCCCTGGCAACTGCACACTCACAGCGGAAATTGATTCAAACTTCACAAAAACGGGGTTTTCAGTACTTTTTGGACTCAAAATCCCTCAACGAGTAATCTATAACGTAACGATTACTTGATTGATAAGGAATTATCGATCGATTACCGAGTACAGTCTGTATCGGCTATAGAGTGACCGGATATAAGAATATATCGGCTACAGTGATATTGGTACGAAATATCAAAAGCAAAACGTATTTTATCCAGTGAAAATATCACTATAACCAATATTATCGGATGTACTGATGTAATAGGTAGCCGAGTGGTAGGCGCGGTGCAATTAACAAGAATTACTTTTATTCTACTTTCAGGTACACACCTGAGATATAATCGTTATTGCAAGAAGAAGCGGCAAAATAAATAACTTTCTCTCCGGTGCTCACCTAGAGGCTGAATCCTTATTCTTTGAGTTAGCTTTCATTGCTATCCAATCTAATCTAATCTAATCTTCATCAAAACAGAAATGCGCAGCCGCTTTTATGCAGCAGACGACGTACGCTTACATACGGAGATACACTAAATATACATCAGGCAAGCTCCGTATTAGTTCCGTACTGCTTCCGTATTGGTCGGGCAGGGATACTACACCCTCCCTTCCTACAGATAATCACGCCCTCGTGATTTTCAAAAAAATAGTGAGGAGTTACGAACAACAGCGTCAACCGGAAGATGGCAAATTATATCGGAAATGATAACGTTTAGAGTAGACAGAAGAAATGAACTGATAAAAAAATCATAAAATAGAAGTAAAAGCACACCAGGTTCACACGATCTCACGGGGTCAAAAGGGAAAGAACTGTCCTCCAAATAGGACCTGAAACCACAGCACTCTTGCTGCACTACGCTGGCACAACCTGCCAGGAACATCGCAGTTCAAAAACCGAACTGAATACACTATAACTATAAGGGGCGTTGTCACACACATTGTCCCACGTTAGCTGGGTAAGCCGTGGCTCACCATGATCAGACGCCTACCAAACTAAACTGGATTCACACACTCGCATAAAGGAAGACTGAAGAGAACAGGTAGACTGAAGGAAGACAGGAAAGAAAATGCCATACCTGGAATCAGCGTTAGTAACCACGGCGGCGGCTGGAGCTATGGCGGAGGGCGAGCGAGGTTTTATCTTCATCTTCGTTGAGCCGGTCACTCAGAGCGGCTAGCTCGGCGTCAGACAAATAACCTCCCTCCTCGTCTTGAATC